AGCGGATGCGAGGACGGCGACGACGCCGCTGCTAGCGGACGCGAGGACGGCGACGGCGCCGCTGCTAGCGGACGCGAGGATGATGATGACTCCGCTGCCAGCGGACGCGAGAATGATGATGGCCCCGCTGCCAGCGGACGCGAGGATGATGATGACCCCGCTGCCAGCGGTCGCGAGGATGGCGATGACCCCGCTGCCAGCGGACGCGAGGATGGCGATGACCCCGCTGCCAGCGCAAACAGTAAGACAGGTACTATTATATGTAATATTTTTTTACACACACGCACGCACGCACGCACGCACGCACGCACACACACATATATATATATATGATAGATAGATAGATAGATAGATAGATGGATAGATGGATAGATGGATAGATGGATAGATGGATAGATGGATAGATGGATAGATGGATAGATAGATAGATAGATAGATAGATAGATAGATAGATAGATAGATAGATAGATAGATAGACAGGCACATAGCTAAATAAAACGATAGGTATGTATGTATGTATGTATATATCCGATCTTTTCTGTACACCCTGTGTATGTATATTTACACACACACATCTCTGTGTGTTTTTGTCTGTCTCTTCTTTCTTTTCTACATTGCATTTTTTCATACATGCACACGTATACAGGGTGATTCAGGAGGAAAGGTAAAGATTTTAGTGGGTGATAGTATAGGCAAATGCGAACAAAAAATGTCCTATTAACATGTGTCTTATTTTTATTGGTTACAATAAACCACTCACAGCAGAAAAAAGTCAAAGGCACAAACAAAAGTAGACGCAAATGACTAAGTTCAAAGTTGATTTTCAAAAATGCCACCTCCGACTTCAATACACTTTCTAATTCTTTTGACTGTACTACGTGTAGCTCTTCTGAGGTCATCTTGACGTTCTTTTATGAGAGCAGCAGTATTCATAATTATAAAAATAAGACACATGTTAATAGGACATTTTTTGTTCGCATTTGCCTATACTATCACCCACTAAAATCTTTACCTTTCCTCCTGAATCACCCTGTATAATAAAAAATATTTTTTACATTACATAAATAAAAATAATTACATACATGTATGTATATATATATGTATGTAATTATTTTTATTTATGTAATGTAGAAAATATTTATTATTATATACGTGTGCATGTATGAAAGAATGCAATGTAGAAAAGAAAGAAGAGACAGAGAGACAGGAACATATATATATACTATATATATATATATATATATATATATATATATATATATATATATATATCACTCAGGAAAAATCGTCTTCAAATGATACTAGGAATCTGCCATAAACTTTTTCGCCAGTTCTGGGACACCCTGTATATCTATACATACCTGTATATAAATATATATATATGTAAATATAAAATTTCTTTTTTTTTGCAGCGAATTAACACCGCGGTTCGTAAGGCGGTGAACAAGGAGCGGGCGCGCCAAAGAAAATACGCCGATCGCCGCCTTCATACTCCTGCAGCACCAGGATACATGCTTGCGCCGCCGACAGCATCAGGATATATACCGCCAGCAGCACCAGGATATATATATGCACCGCCGACAGCACCAGGATATATATATGCACCGCCGACAGCACCAGGATATACAGGGTGTCCGGTAATGGTCGCCTCAACCGTCGTGTGCAGGTAGAGTAAGTTAAACCGAATAGGAAAGTCCTCTACCGTTTTGCGATTTTCGCAATAATTATTGTGTTATTAAATAAAAAAGATCGGCCAATCTAAGCGCGCGACGAGATGAGACGGCCCCCCTGTCACACGATACACGGCGCGCGGCAAAGCGGAGGGAGGAGCGAACGCGATGGCTACGAACGGCGCGTAACGCTAAAGCTCCGCGACAACTATTTTCTCTCTTTCCCTTTTCATCTCACTTTCTTTACTAAAAACGAATCTTTTTATTTTCAAAATGGCATCTTGATTAATTATTGTAAAGTACAGTTTTGAAAAATTAATAATCGCATTGTGACATCATTTTCAACGATGTATCTCATTAAAATTTAACATGCATACAAAGCAAAATAAGAGTCTGATGCAAATCACACCATACACGGAGAGAATTTTTTCTTATTAGAATTTATCCTGAAAATCATGGTAATCGTGGGATAATATGGTGTAGGAAAAATTTTATAAGAGTTTCTCTGATTAATATTTACTACATTAAAAATTATTAATATAAACATAGTAAAATTAATCGAGTACATTTTTTATTTTATTGTGGTAGATATTAATATTTTTATTGTGGTAAATATTAATCAGAAAAATTCTTATAAAATTCTTCCAGTACCTTACTGTCCCACGATTACCATGATTTTCAGGGTAAATTTTAAGAGAAAATTTTTTATGTGTAGTATTCGGATACGTTTTATCAAAATTTACGTTTTTAAAATAATCAATAAATGATAATAACGAGAGAGAGAGAGAGAGAGAGAGGAGAGAGAGAGAGAGAGAGAGAGAGAGTGAGGAACGTTATTATCATAAATGATAACGTTCCTCACTCACTCACTCACTCTCTCTTTCTCTCTCTCTCCCTCTCTCATTATTATCATTTATTGATTATTTTAAAAAACGTAAAATTTTGATAGGATGTATTCGAATACTACACAGAGAAAATTTTTTCTTAAAATTTACTCTAAAAATGATGGTAATTGTGAGACAATGGTATTGAAAGAATTTTATAAGAATTTTTCTGATTAATATTTACTATAATAAAAATATTATAGAAAGAAAGTGAGATGAAAAGGGAAAGAGAGAAAATAGTTGTCGCGGAGCTTTAGCGTTACGCGCCGTTCGTAGCCATCGCGTTCGCTCCTCCCTCCGCTTTGCCGCGCGCCGTGTATCGTGTGACAGGGGGCCGTCTCATCTCGTCGCGCGCTTAGATTGGCCGATCTTTTTTATTTAATAACACAATAATTATTGCGAAAATCGCAAAACGGTAGAGGACTTTCCTATTCGGTTTAACTTACTCTACCTGCACACGACGGTTGAGGCGACCATTACCGGACACCCTGTATATCCGCACCGCCGGCAGCACCAGGATATATATATGCACCGCCGACAGCACCAGGATATATATCTGCACCGCCGGCAGCACCAGGATACATGTCCGCACCGCTGGCAGCACCAGGATACGTGCCCGCACCGCCGGGCAGCACCAGGATACGTGCCCGCACCGCCGGCAGCACCAGGATACGTGCCCGCACCGCCGGCAGCACCAGGATACGTGTCCGCACCACCGGCAGCACCAGGATATATATCCGCACCGCCGGCAGCACCAGGATACATGTCCGCACCGCCGGCAGCACCAGGATACGTGCCCGCACCGCCGGCAGCACCAGGATACATGTCCGCACCGCCGGCAGCACCAGGATATATATCCGCACCGCCGGCAGCACCAGGATATATGCCCGCCTAGATTTTTTTATTTTATAACATTTTTTTTCATTTTATTTTTTTACATATTAGTCACACTTTTTTTTTATTTATGTATAATTGATGACAATATGGTTAAATATGTTCTTTTTTATTTTTATATGGTATTAAATAGTATAATAATATATCTTATAAGTTTCATATGATCAAATGTATTTTGTAAAATTGACAAAATATATTTTAGACAAAATAAAAAAATATAAAAGAATTATTTTATTTCATAACAACACCTGCCGAGAGATAAGTTGTAGAAATCTCTACTTATAAAATAGAATATTGTTATTTCACATTGTGTGAGATAGCACGGATGACATATTATATATATATATATATATATATATATATATATATATATATTAATATGCCATCCATGCTATCTGCTCACACAATGTGAAACAACAATATTCTATTCTATAAGTATAGATTTCTACAACTTATATTATATATAATTATTATTTTATTTTATTTTACTATTTATTATTTTATTTTATTTTTGTTTTGTTTCTCGTTGGTAAAACCTTGTATAGAAGGTTCGCACGCCAAGGCGGTAGTTTTCGTTAATGGTCACTCGCGGATTCGTTTTAATATACTTTTATTCAAATCACAAATTATAATAAGAGTGTTAGAAACGAGGCGGACGATATTTCAACAAAAGGTGTATCGATCTATTTCATCTCGTGGCTGGACGCTCAATAATGATCCGAGACACGTAGCCAAGGCGCGAAGCGAGAATTTTGGGGATTTGCGCAGGCAATTCGCGTCGAGCGAAGGAAAAGACAGGCGAGTAACACGTGGATCACATGTGTTTTTGACGTGTTGTCCCGCGTTGGCGCGAATAATTACTGAGATGTCGAACGATAATATAAACGGAGAATTGAACGACCTATACTTTAGGATTAGGCTTATTCCTGAACATACCGCCCGCCTCGAATGTAGGCATTCGAAAAAGTACAAATGGTTTAACAATAATAAAAGACATAATGGAATAAACGCTGTACAAAGAATATCGTATCTCGTAGATACTTCAATAACAAAGAACGGGGTGTTAGCGCATATTAAGACGAGATTCCGCCCGCCATAACGGAATCTTTTACTTCTTCGGTATTAATCGCAACAGGCAAGAAGCATAGTTTCACGATCGGTCGTTTATATTCAGAACGGGAGGTTTTGACCGTGACAACGCGCGTCAGGCCATCTTCTCCTGGATGACAGGCGACAATTCGTCCAAGGTCCCAATGGCTGGGCGGAGCCAAGGGATTACGCACTAGGACTATTTGGCCAACTTTGGCAAGTCGCTGGATAACGCGCCATTTTGGGCGTTGTTGAAGAGAATGCAAGTAATCGCTTGACCAGGACCGCCAAAACTCTTCCGTCAGACGTTGAATCATTTGCCAACGCGACAATCGATTCTCGTTAAATTCAAGCACGCTTGGTTCGGCGGGAGCGAGAAGAGAGGTACCGATCAAGAAATGACCAGGCGTTAACGCGTGATAATCGTCAGGATTATCGGAGACGGGAGCGATCGGACGAGAGTTTAAGCAAGCTTCAATGCGACAAGAAACGTGGTCATTTCTTCAAAAGTTAATGTATGGAGGCCGATGCAACGCTTTATGTGGTATTTGACGCTCTTGACACCGGCTTCCCACAGTCCGCCGAAATGTGGTGCGGCCGGGGGTAGGAACTGCCACGCAGTTCCATCGCTAGCGAGACGATTACGAAAGCTTGGATCGCGAATTGCTTTCGCGTGAGCTTCGGATAATTCTCGATTAGCGCCATGAAAGGTTGTACCGTTGTCTGAGTACATGGACTGCGGTAGTCCTCGGCGGGAGACAAATCGCTGGTACGCTGCAATAAAGGTCGGCGAGCTGTAATCGGAAACAAGTTCTAAATGCATAGCCTTGGTCGTTAAACATATGAACAGCGCAATGTAAGCCTTTTGCGATTTGTGTCCTCGGCCGGGCGCGGTTCGGACAGTGATTGGTCCAGCGTAATCAACGCCAGTATGTATAAATGCGCGAGCGGCACGGTTAACTCTCGCCTCCGGTAGATCGCCCATGAGTTCGACAGGTTTTTTAGCGCGCTCACGAGTGCATTGTACGCACTGATACAGAACAGCACGAACGGTAGCGCGAGATCGGAGGATCCAAAATTCATTACGTAATGAAGCGAGTGTTAATTGGGGACCAGCATGTAACGTTCTGAGATGATGATGCTGAATAATAAGAACTAGCAATGGATGTGCTCGTAATACGAGCGGATTCTTCGTCGTTTCTGAAAGGCAAGCATGACGGAGCCGTCCTCTGATGCGAAGAAGTCCGTCAGCGTCCAAATAAGGATTGAGTGTGGATAAGGAACTAGTTTTTTGTAACGGAAGTTGCCGTTGTAAAGTCGAGATTTCAACGGAAAACATCTCGGATTGCATAACTCGGAGCCAGTAATGTTTGGCTTTCTGGATCTCTTCGGGATGGAGGATCGCTTGTGAAGACGATGCGCTTTTAGAGGATCGGAGTCGATAAAGAAAACGGTAAAGATAAGCGGTAATTCGGAGCAATCGAGGCCACGAAGAATAACGTGATGCGAGATCCCAACTAGGGGTTACATGTAAAGAATGAATAGGTGGTTGAGAACGCTGTTCAAGGGCGGTCTCGGCTGGTATCGAGAGCTCGCAAGTCGGCCAGGATTCTGGAGATTGGCAAAGCCATGAAGGACCTGACCACCATAAATTATAATTTGCGAGAGCATGGGGAGCTAGACCGCGAGAAGCACAATCGGCAGGATTGTCCTGCGTTGGAACATGACGCCAAGAAACTTCAGGCAGCAAGGACTGAATGATCGAAACGCGATTGGCAACGAAAGTTTTCCATCGAGATGGAGACTGACTTAGCCAAGCGAGTGTGATGGTTGAGTCGGTCCAACAGTGACATTCGATACTCGGAAGTTGAAGAGCGGACCGCACATAATTAACTAACCGAGCGAGAAGGAGCGCCGCCGACAATTCCAATCGGGGAACGCTTATCGTCTTGAGGGGAGCCACTTTCGATTTTGCGATGAGAAGAGAGATGTTAATTGAGCCGTCGACATTAACAACGCGAAGGTAAACAACGGCTGCGAAAGCCATAGTTGAGGCATCGGAAAAGCCATGGAGTGCGCTGTGCAGAGTATGAGATCCGTGCGTCGTCCAACGCGGAATACTGAGCGTCTCGAGATGCGGTAGTTGGTGATGATAAGTTGCCCAGTGGTCGAAATGTTCACCCGGAATGTCGTCGTCCCACTGACATTGGATCGACCACAATCGTTGCATAAAGATCTTTGCACCGATGATGACGGGAGCGGCCCATCCCATCGGATCGAAAAACCCAGCGATTGTCGAGAGAATAGCTCTTTTCGTTTTTCCCGGCGAAGACGGGAGAGATACGCGAAGTTGAAACGCATCGAGCTTTGGATTCCAACTAACTCCTAACACTTTAAGGTGTTCATCGTCTTGGAGGACTTTGTGAGTGGCTAGTCCATGATCGGCAGGATCGAGGTCTGACAAAAGATCTGGAGAATTACTTGCCCACTTTCGTAGGCGAAAGCCTCCTTTAGCGAGAAGCGCGATTAATTGGTCTCGTGTTTGCCGTGCAAGGATATGATCGTCGGCTCCGAACGCGCAATCATCAACGTATGTTTGATGACGTAGAACAGGGACGGCCAACGGAAATTGAGCACCGTCATCTTCAGCGAGTTGGTCTAGCACTCGAAGAGCGAGATACGGAGCGGCGGCAGTGCCGTACGTCACGGTAAGAAGACGGTAGTCGCGAACAGGTTCGCTGGGAGAAGAGCGCCATAGAATGCGCTGGTAATCAGTATCGCGGAAGTCAACTAAAATTTGACGATACATTTTGGCGATATCGGCGGTAAATACGTAACGATATTGGCGCCACTGCATTATGACAGCGGCCAAATCCTTTTGAAGTTTAGGTCCGATAAACATATTATCGTTTAACGAGGTTCCGTTAGTGGTACGGCAGGATGCATTAAAAACAACCCGCAGTCGAGTAGTTGCACTACTGTCACGTAAGACAGCATGATGCGGTATGTAATAACTTTGATCCGGTTGTACAATTTCTGTCGGTGGAATTTTGATCATATGACCAAGGTTTTCGTATTCCGTGAGAAAGTCGTGGTATTCTGAAGCGATAGATGGATTGCGTTTGAAACGTCGCTCTAAGCGATAGAGGCTCGATTCGGCAATGAAGCGAGATTCTCCTAACGAGAGTGGTGGTCCGGTTTTAAACGGTAATCTAACAATATAGCGTCCTTGAGGAGTGCGGGAATGGGTAGCGAGAAAGTGCTCTTCACACTTGCGCTCGTCAGGGCTATGGTGTTGGGTCTGAGGGACCTCTTCAGTCTCCCAGAAACGACGAAGGTCGAAATCTAAGCTTCAAGGACGACTCCGTGATGCGCGGTCTCAAAAATCGAAAGATTGGTCGGGGACGAAGCGATTGGCCCGGACAAAATCCAACCGAGAGTAGTATTTTGCGCGGTGGGCTCCGTTTCGGAACCTTGTCGAACACCATCGAGTACGAGCATGCCGTATAAATCCGCTCCGATTATTATATCAATCGGGTCGGTACTCATGGGGTCACTATCCGCTAATTGGAGTCCGTCGACATGGTTCCACGTACCCGTCGTGCTTATTCGATTCGGTACATATTTTGTCAACGATCGAAGAATGAGTGCGGTCGTTGAATAAGCGGGTTCGTCGCGATTCGCCGGCGTAATTGTAAGATGAGCGGCGCTGACGGACGCGGATTGCATCTCGCTGATGCCAGTGACGAACATTGAACGATTTATTTTAGAGAGTCGTAAACGTTGCGCGAGCGATTCGGTAATAAACGTAGAAACGGAACCTTGATCCAGAAGTGCGCGTGCAGTTATAAAACGTCCAACAGGCGAATAGACTCTCACCCGGGCAGTCGCAAGCAAATATTAGAATTAGGCGCGACGGTTTTAGATAGATAAATGCGACATGACTTCGTTTACATTTGCGCTTGTTGCTGGCGGTGACTCCGTTTGCACCGGCGGAGTCGAGTTATCGAAATGTAATAACGTGTGATGACGTTTATTACACTGGCGGCATACGCGCGAATTCGAACAATCTTTGACGGAATGCTTACTACTAAAACAGATTTAAACATCGTTTTCGCTGCTTAATAAAATCGAAACGTTGAGAGGGTTTTGCTTTAAAAATGTCGAACATTGGTATAATAAGTGATTGGCACTTGCACAACGGACATGCGAACGAAACGGTGGACGCGGTATGCGACACAAGAATTTTCCTTTAGAGGTAGAGGTGGTTTTTCTTTAGAAAGTGGTACGATCGCCTCGAGAGCGCGAATTCGAGACTCAAGAAATTGATCGAGCTCATTATAACGCGGATATTCCACCGTATCGCCGAGCTTGAGTTCCCAAGCTTTACGCGAGTATTTATCGAGTTTTTTTGCGACGAGCAAAACAAGCAAATCATCCCAATGTTCGATAGGACGTTGAGATTTCTAAGCGCTTGGATTGCTTTGTTTGTTTGGTCGCGAAGCTGACGAAGGTCATGAGCGGTTTTGTGGTCAGTAACGGCAAATTTAACAGCGATTGTATATATATTGTAACAAGACGACGTTTATTGTCGTACCGAGAGACTAGAATTCTCCACGCGACGTAGAAATTATTATTGGTTACCGCGAGGTGGTCAAGCCGTTACTATGCATACCCTTTTACACATGAGCATAAATAATGTAAGCGATCGACATTTGATAAACTATGATTCATTATGAATCATCGATTGGAATTTATCGCGAAAGCTTTCCCACCTGTCGATACTCCCGTCGAAGGTCGGTAGGTTGATCCTCGGAAGATGCGACGCGGGTCGGAAAACATCATGCAAGCCACTTACGGATTGTGATGATGCAGCGGGACAGACCGGGATTCGTAGCCTCAATACCTCAGCACCAGGATAGTCGGCAGCCGCGTTGTAGCAGTCCTCACATTCCAGAAACGAATACTTTGTGAAGCCGGCAGCACCATGATTTGTCGTCATCGTCCGCATGAAGCCCGGATTCGACTGCCGAGCTCCTGGCAAGTGGCAAAGGCTTCCTTCAGGTGACGAGACGTTGACGTGTCACCGCCAGGTCATTTCCGCACCGCCCCAGCACCAGGTAATTGATGAGCGCCCGCATACGCACCAGGATACGTGCCCGCACCGCCGGCAGCACCAGGATACATGTCCGCACCGCCGGCATATCAGGATCGTATTCGGCAGCCAATAATTGTCCTTGGCGACGATCCGGCTCGAAGGACCAAAATTTTTTGTTTCTCGTTGGTAAAACCTTTTATAGAAGGTTCGCACGCCAAGGCGGTAGTTTTCGTTAATTTTCATATGGATTCGTTTTAATATATCTTTTATTCAAATCACAAATTATAATAAGAGTGTTAGAAACGAGGCGGACGATATTTCAACAAAAGGTGTATCGATTATTTCGTCTCGTGGCTGGACCTCAATAATGATCCGAGACACGTAGAATAAAATAGAATTTTGTTATTTCGCAGGCGATTCGCGTCGAGGAAGGAAAAGACAGGCGAGTAATATATGGATCATATATGTTTTTAATATGTTGTCCCGCGTTGGCGCGAATAATGTGAGATGTCAAACTATAATATAAGGAGAATTGAACGACCTATACTTTAGGATTAGGCTTATTTTAACAATTTTATTATTTTATTATTTATTATTTATTATTTTATTATTTTATTATTTATTATTTTATTATTTATTATTTTATTTTATTTTATTATTTTATTATTTATTTTTTTCTTATTTTTAATTTATTTATTATTATTTATTATTTTTTATTATTATTTCTACATATATATAAGTATGTAGGTATATAATATGCCAATATTATATATATGTATATATATATATATATCCTAAAAAAATCATAAAAATGAAAAGGTCAGGCCATGTTCAAAAGAAGGTACTCAAAAATTTAAACGATCTAATAATAAATTATCACGAAAAGTAACTGATATGTTATTCAAGGTGCCAGTTCAAAGTGAACATACGTAAAGTGTATATTATCTAAATTTAGTAATAATATATTACCATGAAAAGTAACTGTGATATTTTATTCAAGGTGCAAGTTCACATTGAATATACATACATATAAGTAAAACTGATTACAATTTGATTCTAGAAAATAAGTGCGATATGTTATTCTTAGTGCACAAAATATAATAGTCGTTTATAGAGATTTGATTTGAAATTCATACTAGCCCGTACAATGAAAAATAATTGCTCGTAATTCCAGAGTACCAATTTGTTAATGACTCAGAAAAATAACATGGCGGCCTGCTCTCAAAAAACTATGATGTTTCTCGATGTCCATTTAGAAATAATGTCAAAGCTCTTACAGAATAATTACTACAACATTTGAAATACGAAAAGTATTACATTAGAAGAAGATTAGATTAGAATAAGGATTCAACGTATTTTTAAAAGCTCTACACACACAACGAAGTGAATATACAAAACTATATACAAATACCTTTTTCTTCTGTGTTTCTGAAGAAAATTGTAAGTCAAATGAAACCTTGCACTTTGAGAACCATGTCACTTACTTTTCAGAGTCAAATTGATAAATTTTTTTTGTATATTTTAATGATATTTATTTCTCACTTGTATCTTGAATAATTAATATGTAATTTTTTATTGTATATTACGACAAATAATCAGTAAACTTTTTAAGCGTATAGCTTTATTGTAGTTGACCTGAGAACTGTACATTTATAAATTTTACTTAATATACACCCGTTTCGAGCAACAAGGCAAAGTTTTCTGATCAATAACTTACTCCCTGAAAATACGGTATAACACAAATCGGAAGTTGATACGAAAATTCGAAATTTTACTAAAGAAAGATTGGAGGTTTTTAATTTATACAATTTTCACAACTCTTATTTCAATTATTTATTCTACCCATCGAAAGTTTTTTGAGAGCAGGCCGCCATGTTATTTTTCTGAGTCATTAACAAATTGGTACTCTGGAATTACGAGCAATTATTTTTCATTGTACGGGCTAGTATGAATTTCAAATCAAATCTCTATAAACGACTATTATATTTTGTGCACTAAGAATAACATATCGCACTTATTTTCTAGAATCAAATTGTAATCAGTTTTACTTATATGTATGTATATTCAATGTGAACTTGCACCTTGAATAAAATATCACAGTTACTTTTCATGGTAATATATTATTACTAAATTTAGATAATATACACTTTACGTATGTTCACTTTGAACTGGCACCTTGAATAACATATCAGTTACTTTTCGTGATAATTTATTATTAGATCGTTTAAATTTTTGAGTACCTTCTTTTGAACATGGCCTGACCTTTTCATTTTTATGATTTTTTTAGGATATCACTTACTTTTTAAAGTACAGATATATAGAGCAGCTTTCTAGTAATTCAAGTATCACAAATATATGTATTTTCGATTCTTATCACATAACTTTGTATAAGTAACAATTTATGCAATACAGTTCAAAATAATTGAAATATATGGTATATATGTACATATATAAAATATATAATTATATTATAGTATACATATATATTTTATTTAATCATATATGTAAATGTTTGTATAATTGTAATAACTTTTAACGATACATTGCACATTTATTTCAATTGCAACAGAATGAATTTATATTCTTGTATGAATATTGAAAATAAAGAATGGGCCCCTCCATCGCCCATTCTCGTGAGAACGCAACCATATATTTTTCTTCGTCTCTCCGATTTTAACACGACATACATATTTCTGTCTGATAATTTTTTTCTTGATGATACTTTTTGAAATGTCATGAAGCCTAGGTCAAATTAGAAACTTATTGCACTCGTTTTAATGCAGCGCTTACAGCAGCTTTTATAAAGCGCCAGAGCAGCCGATATTTTATTTTGGCGCTTACGGCAACTTTTATACAGCGCTAGAACAGTTGATGTTTTAATGTAGCGTTTACGGCAGCCTTTATACAGCGCCATTATTTAATCTGTTCTAAGAACAATATGTATGCCCCTTGTGCTCCTT